GAGAGAGAGAGAGAGTGCATGCCGGAGGGCTCCAATCTAGTTTGGATTGAGACTTAACCTCCATTCCGAGTGTAGTCTTCCTCTGAATCACCAAGTCGATGGTCTCATCATCCTTCTCCGAACCACACAGGTGCGCCATCCATCACTTCTCCTCCATGGCATCACCCAGTTGCGTGTCACTACTACCCGGTATGAGCCAGCACCAATGGGAAAGGGATAAGGGTCCCCTTCCTCTCTCTTTATGGCTGTCGCCCTTTTACCCCTCGGTCGAGACACCGAAAGCTTTGGAGAAATCAGGAGGTAGAGGAAGAGGGGGAGACACGTCGCCATTGAGATAAACAATGGCCGGTACCGAATCCATTTGACTTTCTTCCTTCGTCTCAGCCTTTCCTTGTCGTTTCACTCTATTTAAGCCATATGCCCACAGTTCATCTCCTATTCCTTTGTGATTCATCTTCACCTTGACCTCTTCTTCTTCTCTTCTCCATGGGGAGAGCATCTTGTTGCGACAAAGTTGGAGTGAAGAAGGGGCCGTGGACGCCTGAAGAGGACCGCAAACTCATCGACTACATACAGAAGCATGGACAAGGGAGCTGGAGAACTCTTCCCAAGAAAGCTGGTATGGGAGTCGAGATCAAACGTCTCCCTAGTTAATCGTGTCTGGCACCTTAATGTGCTCATTTGATGTCATGCATGAACAGGCCTTGCAAGGTGTGGCAAGAGTTGCCGGCTTCGGTGGACGAACTACCTGCGGCCGGACATTAAGAGAGGGAGGTTCTCATTTGAAGAGGAAGAAGCAATCATTCAACTACATAGCGTTCTGGGGAACAAGTAAGTGGTGGTGAATTGTCTCTAAGCTTAGGCGACGAGTTCAGAGAAATGTCTCTGCTTACGTACTTCGTCTTCTCCTTTGGGTTTCAGATGGTCGAAGATTGCTGCTTGCTTGCCGGGAAGAACAGACAACGAGATCAAGAACTACTGGAATACGTGCATCAGGAAGAGGCTCCTCAGGATGGGAATTGACCCTGTGACTCACACCCCTCGCCTCGATCTCCTTGACCTCTCTTCGCTTCTTGCCTCCTCCTTGTGCAACCCAGAGTCGCAGTTCGACTTTTCTAGGTTATTAATAGGCCCCGAAACCCTCGCCAACAGCCATCAGCTCAAGATGGCGACAGACCTCCTATCGTCTCAACGCCAAAGCTCAAACATCCTTTGTCAAGGACTCCAAGAACAACCATACCTGTTGGCTTCCTTGCAGGAACAGCAGCTACGGCTTTCATCTCAACAGCTATCTACTTGCACCCTTCCAAACGAGCCATTCATTGATGAGGCACTGCTGATGCAAGCCAGTGCGGGCCAGTTCCAACCAGCTACCGATTCCAATCACTGGACGAGCGTTAGCTATCAAAGTTTGGACCCATCCTTCACCCAACTGGTCACGGAAACCTCCAATCTGATCTCCACAGACGGGCAGGGCTACAACCTGACTTCTCTTTTGTCGACACCTGCGTCAAGCTCCCTGAACTCCTCATCGACATACACGAACGGCAACCAGCTGAAGTAACAGATTCCTGATCTCTTGGGCGTGAGCATGTGCATGTGAAGAATAGGAGAGATCGGGAGACGGAATACAGACGGCAAAGAGGAGAAAGAAGAAGGAGGAGCTAAGAAACAAGAAGAGACACCAAGTTCTGTACCCAAATGCCGATGCATGCATGAAGCACAAGTCTTTTTCTCTGTTTTTTTTCCCTTTCTTTTCCATGTTCTTCTCTGATCGAAGAGAAAACAAGGAATCCTCCCAGGTTTCCTACTGTGTTTGTACTGTGGATGAACGATTTCAAGGTGATTAAGGGGTTCTTTTATCTAAAGAGGCCTATTTAGCAGACATGCATGAGACCTTGTTCGTACGACGTTGACTAATCACACACTCAGTACTGTCTATCCAACTGGCAAACTGGACTTAATGAAGTGTAGAGAAATCAATCACTCAACGACAGTAACGATCATTACTCGGCAAAACAAAGATGAGGAGAAAAGCTACAATGATAGATGAACTGGGTGTTGACCTCGTGAACAAATGTATGAGATCCACGTGAACCCGTCCACGTGCGTACCTACTGACCGTAAAGGTGGTGGTCCCTTTCACAAATTGATGTAGCACGTGAGAGACAGCGATGCAAATGACAACGCCCGATCTAAGCCGTCCGTCACCGACGCGTGGTATGCAACCTGTCCGGCTCTGATTCCTTTAGCGTGCCAGTGACACAGTCGATGGGAGCTCGACACGTTTTGACGTGCTATTATTTTATTTATATCACATATTTTTGGGAGAATTAAAAAATCCTCCTTATTTATGTTTTCTTCTTGAGGTGGCTGCATATTGTATTGATATGAATGGTACATCGATATACTCTTATATATAACATGTCAATATGCTGTATATAATTTGATATGTATCATATTGATAGTTGATCGATATATCGATTGATGAGGATAGTAATTATGATAAGACTCAGTTGACGTCAGCCGACGCCTCATGCCTCAATCGGCGCTACTACACTCGGTCAACCGAACCAGAACACCGGCCGAGGCGCATTAACGCCTCAGGCGCTGTTCTTCACGCCACGCCAGCGCCCATGTCATACGCTATCAGCCTGCCTCCTGTAGGCGGACACATTAAACAGCAGTAAGCTTCCCTATAAATACTCTCTCGTTCTTCAGAGAAGGGGGGGTCACACATACAAACACTTCTTCTTCTTCTGAAACCCCCTCCACATCTTCTACTAACTTGATTGTCGGAGGGGTCGGGTCGAGCCTCCCAACCTGACCTTTGTGCAGGTGCGAAGCCGAGGGTCCCCGCCGGGCGTGCGGACGACGAGCCCCTGCCCGGAGGAGACAGCGACCCCGTCCCGATTGGACCATCGCACCGGACCGACCCCGCGGGCTCGAGGCACGCCCCGGTGAGATCCCCGACGTCCGGACCCGAACCGAGCCGCGTCGGCCCCGAGGTCATGGCTCTCAAAGTTGTTTCCCACAACATCGATAAAATAAATTAATATTTTAAAAATATTAATAAATTAGATACGTTGTATACAATACTTTTAAGAATATCAATAAATTATTATAATATAATATAAAAATATTATAACATATATTATTTTTATGTTATATTATAGTATTTTTTATATTACTAAAAACATTATAATATAATATAAAATTAATATTTTTATAAAGTTATATTTAAAAATAGTAAATATTGTTATACTATATTAATTTTTTAAATATTATTAAAAATTAATTGGATCGATTCACTTTATGGATTGATATGCAAGAAAAGATAGAGAAAAATGATAGGTGATTGGCAGTTAAAGACAATAATATTTTATTATTAAGGTAAAAAATTAAAGAATTCTGAAAATAAAATTGTTTTTTTAATATTTTTTTGAAAAATCGCCCTGTATTTTTCATTGTGTTCCGAAAAGGAGGCTGGGGGAAAATCCACTCTAGCTTTTTCGGTGGGGCAATTTGGCACGCATCAGCCACGCATCATGTGGACGTCAAAGCGGCCGACCTTTTTGGGGTGTCGAGCTGTCGTCAACTTGCCAAGTCTACGCAATTCGATCCGGCGTTTGACCACTCATGGTTGTAATGAACCGGACCGGCCGACCCAAAATGACATCGTTCCCACCTTCCGCTGACCACCGGAACTCGGGAAAAAGTCGCCGCTGTCCCATGTGCACGTCTCTGTTGCACATTGCCTGGCCAACAATGATGTCTGTTTGGGACACATGACCGACTTGCATCGAGTATAGAAGACACGTGTGTAATACTTCGAGTTCAAAGTTGTCGGGTCATGCCGACCACTTCGGCTTATCACCACGGATTTCACGTGGCGGACGAGACGGGCTCTTCTGTAGTGAAATGAATTGCTCTACTTTGACTCAGGGAGTTGACTTTGTTCCCCATCGAACGAAGGCAAAATTATTAGGTGGTATGCGGCGCTGTGATCTCTTTTGATCGGACCTAATCCCGACCCGGTTGGCTCGAACCGATCACACTGAACCGGAATCTACGGTCACTGCTCAACTTAGGCGGGAAAGGGACCAAGGGGGTTCTTCTTGAACCCCATCCCTCTCGATCGATCGCGTCGGTTCACCTTCTCTGATGGCATCGCTTTCTCAAGGCTCCGATCTCTTCTTCTTCTGGGGCTGGTCGATCATGAGCCGTCCTGGTGTTCCGCATCCTGGCGATCCATGGAAGGTATTCCTTCGCTCAAGATTTTGCTTCTTCGTTCCGTGTCTGTCGATTTTGGGGACTTGGGGTTTTGTTCTTCTTCCTATCGAGTAATATTGATGTGTCGAGTGCTTGACGATTTGTAGCAGCGATTCTTATCGGAAATGTGTTGGGATTGGTCGAGAATTTCGAGCGCAAATCTTTCTTGAACATACGTGCCCTGGGTTTTCTTGTTCCTAACAACTTCTTGAGCGAAACCGATCCTGGACGAAACCCTTTCTTGTACTCGATTGCTGTCTAGATCTCGACGATTCGTAGCAGCGATTCTTATCGGAAACGTGTTGAGATCGATCGTTTCCATTCTCTGTCCGATTACTCAAAACGCAAACCGTCGTTGATCATACATGTTCTTGGCTTGCTTGTTCCTAACAAGTTCTTGAGAAAAACTCAATCCCCTTTTAGGTAAATTTGGCGGACCCTTTCTTGTACTTGATTGCTGTCGAGGGTTCAAGAATTTGTAACAGCGATCTTGATCGGAAATGTGTCGAAACCGATCGATAATTTGTAGTATTTATTATGGCGTGATTAATTTGACTGAAAGCAAACTTTCATTGATCATGCAGGATGTTGGCATTTCAAGGGCTGGGTTTCTTTTTCCCGATCCAAGCAGAGTACGCCATCAAGGAGTTCGTCTCTCGCTAATAAGGTTTACTTTCCCCTTTGTTCTCGATCTTAATATGTACTGCAATTGCAAACCTAGTTGTTCTTGTAAATACTTCGATGCCATTCTATTTACATGATTATGTTCATATACTTAGCCATCAAATTATAAGGAACTTTCATTTAACCGTACTCCAACATTTCCACATTTCCGTACTGCATTAGATTTCATTATATGATATCATAAGAAGCTTAAAATGCTTAGTCTAATAAACTCACTCAAAAACTTGTTGATTATATATTTATCGGTTAATTATATATTAGCCCTTTAGTTAGACCTCTTTATCATTCTTTTTTCTAAACTTAAAAAAAATATATTGAGATCCATATAAAATCAAAATAAAATATTAAACCTCATTTAACATAACATCGTCGGTTTTACCGATGGAAGATATAACACGTGACAATATGTTTATAAATGATATGAAAACAATAAGAAAAAGATAATTTCAATTGTAATGGTGGATGATGATGACGACGATGATGTTGTGGAAGATAATTTTAACTCAATCTATTTATTTTGTTGGTAAAGTCGACGATGTTAAGGTAAGTGGGGTTAAATATTTTTGTTTCATATTATAAAAATTTCAAAGTAAATTTTTGAAGTATAGGATCGAAATACTAAAAAGGTCTAACTACAAGAAAGGGATAATATGTAATTAGCACCGATTGTCGTTCACTTGCTCTTGCTCGTATTATGGCTTTGATATAAAAGTTGCTCCTTACACCAATTGCTTAAAATTTCCCCTTGTTTCATGTTATTTGATTTTTCCTTGATAGTAATCTTGTAGTTCTCTACATAACGTTGGAGTTAATTCAAGAACATTGTCATAGAAATTGGTTCTGGACCCTATGGGCTAAGGATGAAGTTCATGAACTATATATATAATTGAGAACTATAACACATTAATAATCAAATGGAAGCTTGTTGAGCCCCCATACAAAAAATTAAGTAAATTTATGAAGGATTAAGTTCAGGAACTATGTAGGAACATATTGGTGAAAACATGGAAGAAAAGTAGAATGTCATGAGAAAATTTAATAGGAAAATGCCACAAAGATTGCATGTTTATAGTTTAGTTGGAAATATAGATAAACCATTTTTGTGGTGTTATAAAAGGTTACATCTTCTATCAAGCTATAGGGTGGGTTGGGTTGGGTTCTGTTCCAGTTCTGATGTTAGATCCAAACCAGGATCTTAATTTCTTAGTGGATCCGACGTGAGGTCCGTTGCCAACTTGGTTGATAGCCACTTAAGAGGGACTTGACATCTTCTCTCCTGAAGAGATCTCAGTAAGTGCTAAGAAGATTAAGATGAAGAATTTGTAGGGGTAGCTCGATCTCATACCACCTTTTTTGCTTGATGGATATTTTGATCACTAGTGTCAGCTTGATCTCTTATTGCGGTGTCATGTGCCCAATTGTTGTGTCCTTATTTTGGTGGTATTTTCTTATGCACTCATTTTGGAGCTGATGGGGTTGTGAGTAGATAAGAGTTAAGTGGATTTCAATCCTTATGGCTCATCATGATTTCTTCATCGTGTTCATGTTGCCGATGCCCAATTAATACATAGACCTTTTAGTTTTAAGCTGTTCTTCTTAAACTCGGGATAGTCAAAAGGAGGAAGGAATTCACCATCCCTTCAACCAGTCCCTTGCTCTGCGGTGGGAATGCCGGGGTGGGTGGGGTGGGGGGAGGGGAGTTTAGGAATTACTTTTGGAGCTCAAAAGAGCATGTTGTGCACGGTATTTGATCAGGTGGTTCATGATTGGCGTGGGGCTGGGCATTGCGACTTACCTAATGGATGGTTCAGACCGAAACACCGTGACGACCGGACAAAATGATTGAGTGGATGAATGGCTTGTAAAGTTGCACCCTGCCAGTGAGCTGCTTTGTACATAGCTCGGCCTTCTTTCTTGGACTTAATGCACCGCTGCGTTATGGAACCTTGTGCTTCGCCACCACACCCCCTTACCAGGCTCCCACTAACCCAAGGCTGCTGCTGCTGCTGCCCACCAGAAACCCCCTGTGGCGAAAAAGAAAGAGGCCTTGGATGCAACCTAAAAGTTTAGAGCCGAGACCACCCTCCAGCTCAGCACAAGCATGACTTGTATGTCATCTTCCTTTCCCTTGCCCCACTAATGCATGATTGAAACTTTTCTCAAACTTTTTCTTGTGTTAATCTTGTTTCCTTTTTCTTTTTTTTACTATAATCTAGGTCCAGTTTTTCTACTAGACGCACCCACCCCACCCACAGCTACCTTTTTCACTTTCTGATCACCCCCTCTCCCTCTCCCTTTCCCTTTGAAAAGCTTGGCTCGGCTCGGAAATGGAAACCACCACCACCACCACATCCCCCAACATCTCCTCATAAGATAATGATATGAGCCAGTCTCACAAAGAGAGAATCAAATAAAAAAGCAAAGCTAAAATCCTCATGGGACTTGAGAGTGGTTTTTCAGCATACTTGATGATAGGATTCGAGCTTTTCGACAGGGATGATTGTGTAGTGGGCTTTGACACAAGATTAGCAACAGATACTGGTGGTTTGTCACTTGTGAGTTGTTTGAAATTTCTACTAGTCCCTGCCAACACACTCCAGTCTCTTGTCCTTACGGCCGGGAGCTGATTACAACAAATGAATACGAAAAACGTATCGGTATCGGTTCTGACACATGGTGGTGGTGGTGGTGGTGGGTTCAAGGTGAGAGCTTATCTGGGGGGGGGGGCGCGGGGACGACATAAACATCCGCCATGTGAAGCGGTCAGTGGAAGCCCGCCCTTGTTTCTTTTTCAGAGCGTCCTCCTTTATGTCATGTTGTTTCCTTGTAGGACTGGTCTCTCGTACCATCCGTCCTATTCATCCAGGGGAAGGTTGGGTCTGTAAAGGATGGCTCCAAAATCCTAATGCCCGACTGTGCCACACCATCACCTGGTCATCGCTTTGGAAGGAGATGACTGGAGGTTGAGTGAGTGATTCTTCCTGAGGACATCGGGGGATGAGAAGTGGGCTGGGGGTTGCTTTGGTCATTGCTGCAGGATTGATCATGTAGGTTTGATTTGATGTGGTCGTCTTTTCATGCTGCTACCGCTTGGTCTGACCTGAACCCCCTAAGGCCTCGGTAGAAAAGCACGAAAGGTTTTGTCATGATCGGTTGCACTGTGGCGGGGTGGGGGTAAAATCTGTCGGTCAAGACACCCTCGTTTAAGTTGGAGTTTCAAGTCTGGTTAGATCTAAAATTCTAACTACGATCGATTAGTCTCTTAATTATCTATTAAGTTCTTATCGTGCTCTGACTGTAAGTAAATTAATTACTTCGGAGACCAATTGTATTGAGGACCTTCCTTTTTCCTATATTATTAAACTACCATGTTTGTTCTAGGGCTCCCACGGTTTTAGACATTGACTATAAATGAAAAAGAAAATAAAAGATCTGGTTGTAAACCAACAACCGACTCAAGAAAAAGCAAGAATAATAATTATTATTATTTTAGTCAAGAAAAGGAGGATGTCAAGTTTGTGGTCTCGATGATAAAGAATGCCTTGGGGACGAGAAAGGGAGCCTAGGAATAGAAACAGTAATATATATATATATATATATATATATATATATATT